AACATAAGTTATGTTGCTGATACTTTTTTTTCAGCAACATAGCTTATGTTGCTGATATATTAGCAACATGATTTTGGTTGATAATGTATTACCCATCAAGCCTTCTCCAACAAAACTTTTAGCAACCAAACCCATGTTGCTGAACATGTTGCTGAAGGACTTTCAGCAACATGGAAAGCACTTTCAGCAACATGCTTCCATGTTGCTGAAAGCTTGAATTTTAGTAGTGATTTCAAATGTAAATTTTAATAACTGAATCAGTAAGTATTAATGATTATATTGAATCGAAAAGTATAATAATTATTTTTCATCTTTTAATTGTCTCCATACTTATAATGAACAAAAGTTACGTACCGCATCATTTTACCTTTTATTGTTATGTGCAGATGATGTATAAAGAGGTTTCATTGGTTTGGTTCTTTATTCTGTTCCCAACTAAGCAAGATCATGCTTGCACTTAGAAACAACTTAGAAAATATGGGAATATATATAACTCAATATATAAATGTATCATTTGATGTGTAGAATCCCAAAATTATTGTAGGGTTCTCTCCCTTTGGAACGGCCATGAAGGGATCAAAAGGAGGAGTGAAGTGTAAGAGTTCTGCACTTTTTGGGGTGGATCTTTTGAAGTTATCTACGCATTTTCATTGCACCTTTACTTAGTGTGGACTCTTTGAAAACTTTTATTGACCCCCATGTAAATTACCATGTTAATTGTCAATACTCAAAAAGGGACTATTTCCACTCTCTATAATCTCTACAAATCTTGCTTTCGGCTTAAATCCACAGTGTTCTAAAGGTTTGTGGACCAAAACATATGGCATAATTGACCAAGGTTCGATTTTTAAGAATAATTACAAAATAATTCTTTATACTTGAATAGCTAATTCTTAATTATTGAAGAAGTTGAAAAGCAATTACCTCAGATAACAACTTAAGATCTATTTAAATTAAAAACAACTTTGAACTAATTTTGAGTATGTAAAATGTTCAAAATAGTTGAATTTTTTAATTCAAAAAGTATAAGTTTAGAAATTCAAATTCATTCTTTGATGTAGTATAATATAAAAAGGAGAAATATGAAGGGGCAAACATTTTCGAGATCACTTTTTAGACATTGCCCTTGCCAAGATGTATAAAGGCAAAGTAAAGGTAAATTATTGGAACTTAGGGCTTGCTTTGGTGTGGCCCCATAGAAGCATCACCACCGAACCAGCCTGGAAAGGGAAAGGCTCCTTAAGTTACAAGGAAAATTATTGCAAACATCCAAACACTTGGTTAGTGTATGTAGTAAAAGTCATAGATTAGGGAGTTTTTTGGGTCAGAGCCCTTATTATTGTAGGGCACATTTAATATTTCACGTGCACAATGTCATCCCCTTCCATGCCCTATATTTTCTTGAATTTCTCCTTCATTTAATTTTTCTTTTTCTATGGATGGTAAAATTGGACCACGTTGAGAAGCTAGAAATGGTAGGTACTTCGATTCATTAACAAATGCCAACTTAAGTTGATTATTTAAAAAAACAAAATAAAAGTTGTGTATTTTAAACTGTATAAGTTCTATTATTAGATAAAAAATAGATCATTTAATATCAAAAATTGTCTTTTATTTAATAATTTTTGTTTTATAATTTAACATAATTTAAAGTATAAAATAAAATTTCTTATAAAAATTTTAAATTATTACTTTATAAATAAAAGTCCAGAGAATCAAACTCTACTCCTTCTACTCTTGATTTGTGAGATTACTCGTTACTTTATAACTTCATGGTATCATGGTAATAAAGAAATGATGACAATCCCATGTGCAGTCCATAATCAATGTCTTATGTGAATAAAATCACAAATTTCTCTTCGACCAACACCTTAAACGTGCAGTTCAATAAAATTAATTTACATATTCATATTGAAATAATAACTTTTATTTAATCATCCATATTGAATAATGTCTACACTCTGATTTTTAAAAATTGATATTACCCCATGGAAAGAAGGTTAAAGAAATTCTCAAAATTCTTTGACCAAGCTATATCCCTGACTTTTTAAAGTGGCATTCACTTAGGTTCTAAACATTCTAATTCTTAATACTTGAACCTAAAGCTAAACCTCATGCAAATGGTTTAGATTTAATGGACCAAATCGTCATAATCAAGAGATCATAAATCTAACTTAAGTACTCTAATAAGTCAAAGGAGTAGCCATAAAAATTTATCCAATGTCTGCAAGTGCAATTTATTAATCCTTCAGGTGAGGCCCTTTCGGCCTTGGAGTCCGACCTCCCAGCTAATTTCCTGCCCTTAATAAGGGCTGTCACCACGTGGAAGTTACGTCTCCTTGACGTCAACGCTCTCCTCTGCCCTGTCACCCTTCTCCACCCAATCCCATCCCTCCACGTCTGAATATTCCCACCAAAGTCAAGCCTCCTGTGTTGACTGTGCCCATGATCCGTTATTTTCACTTCGTTTTAAAACTGCGAAAGTACTATACTTAGCTATAACACATTATTAAATAAATAATTATGTATGTACTATTATAAATAAAAAATTATTTATATAATAATATATTATATTATAAATTTATGAAATTATCGTAATAGTATATTCATATAATTTTGTACTTTAAAGTTTAAACTGATATTTAATTCGGCAACTTGGTTTTGAAAATTTGAAGAATACTTATTTTTTAAAAAATAATGTAATTAAAACTACAACCCAGTCGCCGCCTCCTGATAAAGTAAAACGTGTCGGTGTAAACTTTTAGAATTTTTAAGCCCCTTTTAAAAAATATCCAACTTTAATGTCACTCACTAAAAAAGTTTAACTGTATCTTAGTTAATCCCCTCGAGATAAAGAGCTTCTCATATTAGTCCTTCTCCCCCCACTTCCCTCTAAACGCTGTCCTCACTTCCTTCCATTTCCATCATTTCCTCTTCTCCTCCTTCTTCCTCCCCGGAATATCCTCCTTCACTCTGTTCTTCTTTTTTCTGCATTAAGTCAAGAACCTTAACGATCAAATCAGCTTAAGATCTTCGAATTCCTGTGTTTTTTTTCTTTTTCTTTTTTTTTTCCATGGAAAGATTCAAGAAACTCTATTTTTTGATCTTTCTCATACTTCCGGTTGTGTTTGCCGGCCAAGAAACCGACCCAAGATACCAGATCGACTGCACAATGTGCGCCACTTGCCAGCCATGTCAGCAAGTCCCCTCCCCTCCACCACCGACGCCCTCACCACCTCCTCCATCCCTACCACCCCCGTCATCTACTAACTATTGCCCACCACCCCCTTCTCCCCCAAGCTCGAGTGGCGGCAGCTACTACTACTCCCCACCGCCACCTTCTCAGTCTGGCAGTAATTACTACTACCCTCCGCCGTCCAGCGGCAGTGGTGGGGTGTACTACGCACCACACACATACAACAACTACGCAGCGCCGCCACCGCCGAATCCAATTGTGCCTTACTTCCCTTTCTACTACCACACTCCTCCGCCGCCTTCTGGCTCCATGAAACTGATGGGCTCCTCTGCTACCATCTTTATCACTCTGTTCTCCCTTTTCCTCTGTCTGTTTTGATATTACAAACGGCAAACAAGAGAAAGAAACGAAACCAAGGTGAAATAATGCCATCGGTACGTAGATTCACAGATCTGAGAACATCAAGGATTATAGAAACAGAAGAAGGAGAGATGGAAGCTTCAGGACTTTTACAGAGAAATGAAAGATGCAGAAACTGATAAGAAGTAACCCATTTGTTTCTTGTACTCTGTTCCTCTAAATTTCTCACCATTGCTTAATTTAGAGTGATCTGTAATTTATTGACAATTTGTACCTGCTCGTGTTTTTCATTACTATTAATTCGGTAATAAATTAAGAAATTAGTCGTTTTTGGCAGCAATTAAGCTACATATTAAATCTTAACCTCTTCTATTTTTATACATTTTAAAGTTAGCTACTTAGCGATTCAAAAAAAAAGAAGGGTTTCTATGAGGTTAAATGAGTGTTGTTGATATCCTAATTTCTTCAATTGGTACTACCATTACAATCGATGTAGTCCATGAAATTTTTATTGATTTTCTTTTTATTTGGGTCTTTGGAGCATGAAGGAAGTAATATACAAGAAAGGAACCTTTTCCACATTGCTTTTTGGTTATGATTTTAGTGAAGGGGGAATGAATGAAGTTGAACATCTTATGATTCTTATCACATGGAAAGAAGCACATTTGAGGGTTGGAAAATAAGTTGGCCAGAAAAAGAAATAGGGTTGGAGGATTAAAGAATTTTATTGTCTCAATTGAGAATCTCTTCTGTGATTTAAGGCCTCATGTGGGATTTATATTTTCTTTTTCGGATATTTCTTTTTTAAATAAAAATTATGCGAGATATATATTTATTTATTTTAAACTGTAAAATATAATATAACCATTTTATATTTCATTATGTTTGATATACTTATTACTTAAATTTAAGACCTCTTTTGTCTAAAAAAAAAACAAAACATCGTCATTGGGTCATTTAGCTTGTTGACAAAATTTTATGATATATTATGAGGCAATGCTGCAAGTACAATTCCATGTCATAATATTGTATAATGTATGATATAACGTGTATTAAATAAATTAACAGATATATAATATGACAACGACATTATTATGATACTATATAAAATCATAAATTTACAATTATAAATATCATTAAAAAAATAGACATATATGATATTATAAATAAAACTTTAAATAAAAAGTATTAATGATATTATAATATGTTATAATTATAAATTTATAATATTATATAATATTATAAAAATATAATT